CTCGTGCTCCTCCTTTGTCAGGGCCACTACAGTGCTGTGCAGAAAGCAGTCTGCTGCGAGGCACTCCAGTGCTCATGGCTGCCTTTGCCAGCTAGCTGCCCAGAGAGTCAGTTAATCTTTGTGGTTCATAGTATCTTCTCCTTAAAAAGAGTAATATGGAGTCACTAGAAGCCCAGCCATGTTTCTGGAGCAACGGGGAAGCTCTTCTAGTCTGTCAGACATCTGTGAAGAATCTCTCTTCCTTGCTGTCAAATTTGAGACAGCTCAAGGAACTTCCCTTCAAGATAACTTCTCCTCTATTCAAATTCAGACAGTTGGAGTAAGGTAAGGGATTCATCTGGATCTTATTTTATTCTCTTCTGTCAAATGCAACTCAACAGGCTCTTCTAAGCAGACTGATTTCTTTCAAAACCTGCTGTATGCCATTCAGCCCCATGAAGGAGGTTCACTGCCTTGTTGCCATGGTACCCTTTCTCTAAAGAGAAAGAGAATAGTTAATTATGCAATTTAAGAAACGAAGGAGGAACGACAAAGAGAAATAATAGAAAGGAAGATTCTGGGTTTGTGATAAAACTGCTGGCTGCACCAGAATACACTGTTTACAAGTGAAATGTTTGCCCAGCGTATGCTGGATGTAGCAAAGGATTGATTTTCTGGCAGCATGGATTTCAAGGAGCTGCCCTATGCTAGGCACTGTGCTTTTGCCATCCAGGAGATCAAGCCTGTAGTCAGTTACTGCTGTTACTTTCTTTGGTTAACGTTCCGAAGAGACTCAGACATATTTGTTTGGCTGCAATTCTCTCTGGATGGAGGTAGGGCAACAATAATACATCACAAATTCATGACAAGCCCATGCTGCCCGTGGATATACAGAAGCACAGTTCAAGATGAAAATGTTTTAAATCTTCTTGGCAGCAGTTTGTTGTTCTCAGGCCTAACCCCCTGCTTGCTTACCCCAGGAGCTCTAGCAAATCCAGTTTGTGGTGCACAAGGCAGAACCAAGGGGACTGCAAGCAGCAAAACTGGCACAATCCCAGCCCTTTCGAAGGACTGGCATTTTCCATTTGCCAGCAGCACCGACAGGCTGGCTACAATGTGACTGCAACAAAGCACCACAGCAGACCTTTGACAGTAATGGAATCTGACTGTGCCGCTCCACGCTGTGCGAATGGTGAGAGTCGCTTCACGCACACCACAATAAGCTCTGCAAGCCAGGTGGAAAAGTGTTACCCCATGCTTAGTTTCCAAATGTGTGCAGTAAGGGAAAGACAGAAGGAAGATGAAGTGACCCCATGCAGTTGTTTACTACAGAAGACTGAAGGAGATCGGATTTAGTACATACCTAATGTTCCCCCTTGTACCTAACAAGAACAGTAATAGCACTGAAGGCTAGACAAGAGCCACATACTGTGGAAAGAGGAAGAGAGCAGCTGAGAAGCAATAACAACCCAAAATACTTCTAGAAACACAGCAGGAATGACTGTCAAAAGACCAACATTTTAATCAACAAACTTTACACACAAGAGGCTTCCCACTAAGGAATTACACGTATTCCTGCATTTACCACCAGCTTCTTCTACCCCTTGGGCTTCTAAGGCCCAGGATGGTCTTCTTAAACCTTCTCTCATCAAAAAATTGCAGGGAGGATGGCTTTCCAACCCAGCCCCTGTTACAGAGCTAATACTGAACGCAGTGTCTCTTCCGTTCCCTTCTCACATCCGCCTGGCTTTCCGAGGGCGGCAGCCGTTGTGTGGAACCGGGGTGTTGTCAGTGATGGAGATGACCTCCAAACCTCCCATAGTCAGCCCCTTGATGGCAGCCTGGAACAGAGCAAGGCAGCAGATGATATACTGTTATCAACACACTGCAGAGCACAAAAGGGAAGAGGCTGAGGGGCAAAAAGATTGGTCCCCTGTGAAAATCAGCTTCGCTCAATAGTTCTACTTTGGAATTATCTTGTAGTATTAATATCAGAAGGAACAATTTAAACCTCTCTCTCCACTCCTTTCATCAGAATTCCCATCAGCATTGGTGCTTAAGTGGCAAGAAAACAAATACAGCTTTTATTCTGTCTCCAAAGGAAGTGATTCTGAAATTTTTATTATTCTATGTTTTCTTCACTAAGCATTTCAGTGATGAATTCTTTGTATCACCTTCAGAAAAACAAATCAAGTTAATCGGTATTGTCATGAGACCAGCCTCAATTTAAAAAAGAAAAAAGACACAACGTGGATGATGTCTGAGAAGGAAAAAAATACGAAAGGAAACTGACACCTACTTTGCGTCCTGGCCCCAGTCCTTTCACCATGACTCGTACATGCAGTACACCTTTTCCACGTGCTTTCTGAGAAAGGAAGAACTGGTCAGTATTCTCTTTGACAAATCTGCCGCTGTTCTGCCTCCCCTGGGCTCCTTCATTCCCTTTTGACCTTCTATCATAGTATTCTTTAAGTAAAAATAAAAAGTAGGTGGTAATGGATATGGAGAAGATAGATGGGGATCGCCGCACAGAACAAGACACCAGCAGAAAAGGAGCCTTGGATAAACAGTGGCAGTTTGAAGGAAACTTGTGTTAAGCTGTCAACTCTGCATACAGAGAAAGTCTGACATCAAACTATCCATGACCTAAAGACAGGACAGAAAATGACACATCCATGGATACCTGACTAACAAGGAGCATCTCAAAGCTGTTTTCCCTTATCTAATGCAGTGACTTTTATCTTGTGATCAGTGGATTCCTTCTAGAGGGTAAATGAGAAAAGCAGTCAAGCTTTATATTCACTGTGCAGGAGTCCACAGTGACAGTGTAAAAATGCTAGGGGCTTGCAAATTGAAAATGAAAAACACCTGCTGTAAAGCAGAGCAGTGCTGCCACCAAGTGGAGCTCCTCTGGGTCTCAGTTTCTGTATTCAGGTGCAATTAATCTACTACAAACTTCAACAGGAATAGGAACAAATCTGGCCAACCACTGTTATGCAGCTTTTATGAGGCTCCAATGAGCAAGGCCTAATAGTGGAAGTGTTCTTATATTCCCCTGAATCAACCATAATAAGCTGTTGGCCAGCAGTGGCACAGAACACCTCTGACATGAAAGGTTCCACGTAGTTTAGGATGAGGATTTTCAGTCTAACCTTGCCTTACTTTGCTGTAATGAGAACTGTAACACAGCCAGCCTCATTTTTTCCTGTCGCCTGGATACCTACATAGTTTTTTTTTTACATTAAATTGTATGCATCTGGAAATTACATCTACGTGGACATCACCTTCTCTGACTAGAAGTGCTGGCAGAAGCTCATTTCTCCTGTGGCAGAGAACAAATACAAAAATTTCAGCCAGTAATTACAGCCACTTCTCAATTCCCTACAGCACGAATTTAAACTGCTGCTGAGTCAGGGGCTTATATTTCCAAAATGACTGAGGTGTGTTCCCTTTCAATGAAAGAGCTATGAAACGAGCTAGGAAATGATAGGCTACAAGTTACAGTCAGCGCTTGCACAGCTAAGCTCACTTTCTGAGCATTTTTATCTGATGTTTCAAACAGACTTTGCCAGTGTGAAGATGCTTGCTGTCAGCAAACGGCAGTGTGCTGCTTGAGTGTTAATGAGCAAAGGTCTGCAGTGCTGCTTATGAGCAAGGGACAGCAATGTGAACAAGAAGCAAATTGTCTTCTGCCCTGCTCTATTCTCCTGAATGAAGCTACTGCACTTGTCCCCCATGGACCCAGGTAGCATGGGGATGCAGGAGAGTGACAACAGGCAGTGCAAACTCACCGTTGCTGCCGCTATGCCAGCTGTCTGTGCCGCAATGGCAGTTGCCTTCTTGGCATTCTGGAAACCTTCAGTGCCACAGGATGTGTGGGCAAACGGCCTGTTGTCAAAGCTGACCACTTGGATGTGGGTACTACAGCAAGAGAGGGACAAAAGAAAGAAAGAAGCTCGAAGAGGATTTTACTGTCATAATGCATGGCTCCACCACAGAACTCGGCTCCCTTCTCAAAGCCATAAGATCTCTTTCAAGGCACATCAGTTCTACCCACATGGACCTCCCAGCAGTGAACTTCGGGGTTATGGTGGAGAATCCAAGATGGCAGAACCTTTGTGGACAGCCCGTTCCTACTGACTGTCCCAAAGATACAGCCAACCCTTTCACACACACTTCTCACAGCAAGCATTTTACCTTTTCCATTTCACAGAATCACAGAATGGTTTGGGTTAGAAAGGACCTAAAAGCCCACAGTGCCCCAGTCCCCTACTGAGGCTGGGTGCCCCCACCAGCTCAGGCTGCCCAGGGCCCACCCACCCTGATCCTGAGCACCTCCAGGAATGGGGCACCCACGGCTCTCTGGGCAGCTCAGGTTTACATTCTGTGTCACGAACTTCCCTGTTTTGTTTTGTTTTGTTTTTTCATTTGAAATGCAAAGCTTGAAGTGCATTGCACAGAACGGGAGAAGCTGTCTGCTCACTTGTTGTACGTGGCTTTGATGTGAGCTATCGGGATCTCTTCATACGTCTTTCCATCCCACCTCATGGAGTTCCTCTGCAGGATTAAGGGGCTGAGGAGCAAGACGACAGTTGTCAGACACCGGCTCTTTCCATCTGGGGAAGGAAAGAAGGGACGCAGCGACGCCAGGAGCCCCGTATCCCCGTGCGAGGCCGACGCCGGCCGGCTCACCTCAGCTCGGTGCCGCTCAGGCTCTCGGCCCCTTTCTCCGCCAGCTCCTGCAGCCTCCGCACACCTGCGTGCACGCCGCGGCCTAGGCCGGCGCTGCGGGAAGAACGGGAAGCGTGGGGAAGCGAGGGCGCGAACGGCGCCCGGAGCTCATCCCGAGCCCACCGAGCACCGAGGAGCCCCGGACGCCGACATCCCCCCCTCCGCTCACCCGCAGGCCGCCCCGCGCAGCCGTTGCCGGGCGATCGTTAGCACGGTGTGCATGGCGACCCCGTCCCGCCAGCGGCGTCCCCCCCTCTCCGCGCGAGGCACGACGGGAGCTGGGAGGAAAGATGGCGGCGCCCAGTTCGCGGCTCTGCGGCTTTCGCCAGAGCGCGATGGCGGCCTGCGCGTGGCGGGCTGCGGGGTGCGGCCGGAGCTTGAGCACCGCTCCTCTCGCTGCTGCTCCCCGGCCGTGGAAGCTCTTCGGGGCTCTGTGCCTGCTGAGGCTGCCCCGCATCACGCAGCCCCTCCGGAAGGAGGAAGAGGAGATGGCGGCCCTCATGGAGCAGGTAGCGGGGTGCTGCCCGAAGGAAAATGGCTGCCCCGGGGCTGGGGGGTCCGCTGGAGGCACCTCGGGTCTTGCGGTCGGTTTTGGGCTCTCACTGCAGTCAGACCGCATCCTGGAGGTGTTCGAGGATGGGAGATGTGCAACTGAGGGCTGTGGTTAGCGGGCACGGTGGGGGGTGGTCTGGGTGATCCTGGAGGTCTTTTCCAACCTCAACGATCTCTGATTGTGCTGGTGGCCGAGTGGTCTTTATGATGCCCTTACAGATAGAGCTGGAGAAAAGCCACTATTCCGACCACGAAATCCGCAAGCTGGAGGAGGAGGAGCAGCTAAGAAGGAGGAAGGAAGGCTTGCATGATGATGAAGATGAAGAGCTGGGCAGAACGGTTGTTATGGCTCAGGACCTGGAGGAGAAGTGGGAACAGAAGCTGCTGCAGTTCAGCCCAGCCCCGCGGATTACAGGTACCTGTGGAAGTGTTGTGCTCCAGTCCTCTGCCAGGCACAGCTGAGGGCTGTTTGATGAAGAAGGGCATTTTTTGAGGTTTTTGTTTTTGTTTTTTTTGTTTTGTTTTGTTTTGTTTTTAATCTTGATGCTGTGGCAGCGTGGTCAACGCATGAGAAGTTAATCATCTGTCAGTGGAATCAGTGTTAAGAAGATGCATGTGTTCATACAACCTTAATGAGAGTAAAGTAGGTAAAATGGTGATTGTTTCCACATAAGAGAAACCTTGGTTCTCATGCTTTCCCGTTGCTCTTACTGTTTTTTTTTTTCAGAAGCTGGAGATCCAAGCTTCTTGCCACAAATTCCCTTGAAAATGGACTAGGTGGAGTGTGCTTTGGCAGTAGTATTTTTCTGAATCCTGCATTGGCCTTCAGAGTGTCTGAGAGTAATTCTGGCTAGATTCTTGTCTTGTTTCAGATATCTGTGTCTGTGTTGTTGGAAGGATATAAAGAGAGGTGATGAATCATAGCGATTCCAGTGTGGCCAGGAGATTTTATTTCCAGCATGTGTTGTTTTTTGGCAGAGGCTGATAAAAAAAACGATCGAACATCATTGAACAGAAAGCTGGACAGTAACCTGATGTTGCTGGTGAAACAGAAAATTGGTAACCAAGAGCTGTGGCTCCTGCCTCAAGCGGAATGGCAGCCTGGAGAGACTCTGCGAAGCACAGTTGAGCGAGCCATGGCTACGTTTTTAGGTATGTAGTCTGCTGTGTGCCTGTCTCTCGCTCCTCTTTGTCTAAGTTGTTTTTTTTCCCTTGCCCTACCTAAGAGATATTCACCATCTGTAGCAAAATCGCCTCCCATCTGCTGGGAAGAGGTATTTCGTGGCGTAGAGATATATCCAATGTGGTGGGGTTTCTGGCAAGAGCTGTGATCCTGTGCTCAGCAGCACTGCATTGTGAGGGGCTGACGGAGCCAGCAGGCTAGGGGCTGGGATTTTTGACTGCCAGCAGCTGCAGTGTGAAGCTCTTGCAGTCTGATGTTTGAGTTTCACTAGATGTCCCCTGAATGGTTGCTCTAAGTGTGCAGCTTCTCTTTCAGTCTTGTTGCCCTGTATCAGCTTTTGTGGCAGATGGGTGATAGCAAACCTGCATTTCCTTGCTTTTTGATGTGTGTTGGCAGAGTGTGATGCTCTCTCCCTTGTTCTGCAAGGACTTGCTGAGCTTCAGACAAGTCGCTTTTTCATGAGAAGAGACTTAAAATTGGCAGTATTTCTGCTAGAAGAGAGAACAGTCTGAACCAGATATAAAGTCATATGCTGTGTGTCTGTGACTATGAAAGTGCAATTACTATTGCTCTGTGTCTTATGTTTTGCTTTCTGTTTCCTTTGCTGGGGCCTTGCAGGCGATCACATTCAAGCCAAAATCCTGGGGAATGCACCATATGGGATTTACAAGTATAAATTCCCCAGGGCCATCAGGACTGAGGATAACGTGGGAGCCAAAGTATTCTTCTACAAAGCCTTCCTCCAAAGCAGTGATTTGTCCCAGGCAGAGCTGAAGAAAGATTATCTGTGGGTTACAAAGGATGAGCTGGGAGATTACTTGAAGTCGGAATACCTGAAAAAAATCAATCGATTCCTTCTGGACTTATAAGTGATAGGCTGTGCTCAGGCAGATGGGCAAGATGTGGAATGTGACTCTGGGGAGGAGCACAGCTGCTGCTTCGTGTGGTCTGTGTGAATGGGATGTTAAGCAGGACTCTGGAGGATAAACTGCTTTTGCCTTATTTCCCAGTTCTCTTCACCAGGCCTGTATTAAATAAATATTAAAACTTTATACTCCCAAGTGAAGCTCTCCTCAGGGAGTTCTTTGCTCTTGTTGAATCCTCCTCCACCTTTTCTGGAAATGTGTGTTGTGATCTGTTCTTCTCCAAGCATGTGGTTCCCTGGGGCTGTGGTACCCAGGAGGCTCCTCACCAGACTCGTGTTGTGGTCTGGAGCTCAAATGGTTTCTTCTAAGAGATGGCCAATGCTCATCTCTGGCAACTGCTCTTAACTAAGATGAAGCCTTTTTTTTTGTAACTAAGAGCAGTGCTGGATAGTTACATTTGTTTCCAGCTGGCAGATGATGTTCTTAGGTGCAAGAGGGGGGTTAGCCAGCTAGATAATGGGAGAACTGACAGGGGAGTGATTTTCTTTGGCATCATTCCAGCCTCTGAAACTGTAGTTTTCTTCCGGGTTGTTATGTTGCTCTGGGGAGGATATGCACATTGCTCAGTGCAGCAGAGCAGCAGTCAGATGCTTATCCATGGGTTAGCTTTGCAGGCCTGAGGCAGCTCCACCAGCGTTTCCAGCAACACTTTGATCTCTCTGGACACGTTGGCTGAGCTCCTTGTGTGATCCTGGGGAACTTCTCCAAAGGTAAGCAGTTCGTTGTCCCTGCTTGCTGAGATTTCCTTACAGTGTCACCCATGGATTTAGGTTCCTCTAGCCAGAAACAAGACTGCTAGTACTGGATCACAGGCAGCAAGTAAGGGCTAACAGGGCTGGGCAACGCATGTTTCTGGGGAGCTGGAAGCTGCAGTTGTTCAATGCTTTGTTACATTTTGTCCATGTTGGAGCTGCGTTTGGCCCCAGAAAGACCTTGAGTGGAAAGATGCATGAGAAACAGGCAGTAGCTCTTTAGATGACTGCTACTTTTCCACCTACACCACTGTCCCCTTGGGTCTGAAACTCTGAAGGGGAGAACTATTTGATCAGCAGTTCCTTCTGGGCTGAAAGGCTAACTTTTGCTTGCAGAGGAAAGGCAGCTCTAGTGTTCCTACTTCCTGTGAGCAGCCTCAAAGGTGGCTTTGATTCTCAGCTCCTGTTCCCAGTGTACTAGGGCAGCACGGCTAATGCAGCCCAGCTGAGTCTGTCTCAGGTAGCCTGAACCTATTCCTCCAATTTCTTTATTGGAAGGGCTATCTTATGCTTATATGGCCCAGTCTCATCTCTCTGATCTGGTTGTGTTTCTTGAAGTGCTTTTTCTGGTTGTGTTACTGTTAGTGTAGTGGAAATGCTAAGTTACAGCTTGAAACAGTGATTGAGCACCTGGTGGGAAGGCAGGACCAACCCAAGGGAACTCATATGTATGCAACGCAATGCATCTGAGTGACTGGAAGGGGTAGAACCAGGATCCACCCCTTCCCAGACCTCATTTGAGGGTTGGCAGTGGAGGCAAGGGGATCCTGATGGAGATTCCTGCGTACCCGAGGCTTTCCAAGGGTAAGCAGATTTCTTTTTTCTTTGTTTCTGTGTCCACAGCTGCTGCATTTGAGCATATTCTCACTTCCTGCAACATAAGACTTTGCTATTCCACTGTCATTGCTGTGTTTTCCTTCACATTACAGCGTTACACTCAGAATGTGAGCCCAGCACTGGTTAGACTTTGCAAAGAATCTGCCTTTGGTGGCAGGGAGAGGGAGGAAATGGGTGTTGTTAATCATCTGGAAAGTGTTTGTCTTACAGAGGTGGAGCTGGAGATTGCTATATATATTTCATCAATCCTTTGAGAGCTGCAGACCTCAAATTAAAGCTGTTCTTAATCACTCCATGAGCCATTGGGGTTGGGAGTAGCTCAGTAGCCTCATTTTCTAATGCTGGGCAGCTGAGAGCTGAAGGCTTGTCATAAACTATAAACAGAACTTGGTTTCTTGAAACACCCATACAGAACTGTCAAAGGAGGCTGTTTGCAGTGGAGGGCATTTACAAAGAGGAGGTAAATGTGGAGTAGAATACATGCCTGCAAAACTGCAGATGTTTTGGCCGCTGTCTGGAGGTCAGCGCTGCCTTCTCTGAGACTTAAAGCTCCTGTGGAGGGGTGAGGTGAGTCCTTCCCCTCAGGCTGTGCCCCTGGAATCCCTAGCAGCCTGGGGCAATGGATGCAGGCAGCTCTGGATTCTGCTGTTCTCTGCCCCCATTTCAAGCTATTGCTAGCTCTGTAGCATGCAGCTTCTGAGCAGAGCTTTGTGGGTGCAGGCTCGGTTGAGCTCCTTGCCAAGTTCTCTTCTTCACTTCCCATGCCAAAGGCAGGTTTTGTGGTGTGGCATGAGACTTTCAAAGTATATAAGATGGTATTTAATCAGTGCATTTTTAATCTCAAATCTAAGTGCACAAAAGAGAGAAAAGGCTGTACAGGAAGCTTGCTCATCTTGAACCTGGACAACTTTTCTGGCTTGCTCAAGCAGTGAAGTCTCTGAGCACTGTCTGTACTGAGAGGAGTAGCTCCCTCTAGCAATGGACAGGTCAGAATCAACAGCTCTAAATTTTGTTTCTTTCTTCCTCAGGATCAGGTCTTTGTTCTTCTAGGCAGCGGGTGCACAGGAAACCGAGTCTCCTCTCAAAGTTGAAACTGTTGCTTCCTCAGCACCTAAAACAAGAATTGCTGCTCCCAGTCTACATAGGAACATAGCCTTTTATTTTTATTTTTTCCCTTGCAGTTTATTCTGTTTAAAACCCTCAGTTAGTTGCTGTAAACAATCCCTGATCCCCTTGTTTGGGTGCTTTTGCTCACTTCTTGTTCTGTGTGTTGCCCTTCCCGTTGGCTTCTGTGAGGGGGAAGGCAGCATACCATGGAGATTTCCTAGGGGAGAGGAGATGTTTTTTGCATATTCTCTCTACTCCCAAAGGTCCTGTAGCAGATCACAGTGGCAGTTTCAGAAATCTGTGGCTACAAATTAATTTTTCACTCTGTGCAAACTTACACATACTCCTTGTGAAGCTGCAGAAGTCTGGTCAGGTAGCTGATCTATTTTAACTATTATCTATTGAAAGGCCAGCACAGCACCTTGGGGCCTTTTCTGAGAGAGCCCCTCTCCCTGCTGGAGCTGAAGAAACCTCTCAAGTTGTGGCTAGGAGAGAGCTGCCTTGAATGCAGCCCAGCACAACGAGTAGGGGAAGCAGATGAGTTATGCTGAGCAAAACACGTGAAGTTCACCTTGCAAGTGTGACAGAGAACTATGCAAGTATTTGCCTGTTTGTTTGGGAAGTTTGGTGCTCGTTTGCTCCCAGAGCCTCAAGGTTTTTCTCACTTTGGCTTTGCCTCCTCATGAGCTCTCTCCATCAGCATGTGAAGCAGCAGCAGCGGATAGCTGGAAAGGCACCAGGTTTGCTGTAGCTCTCTAGTGCAAGGCACTGTCAGATCAATTGAAGAGCTCTCCTGTGAAGTGTGTGTCAGAGAGCTGTGTTTTGGAAAGGGCCTCCTGTGATTCCTCACTTTGAGAGCAGCCGTGTGGAGCTCAGCTGAGAAGTCCAATGTGAGATTGGTACTGCAGCCGCCAAGGCCATTATTGGAGTGTTATCTTCTCCACACTGCACAGCCTGGGGAGAAAGCTGCAGAGTGCTGACAGACTGCAGAGACTTTCTGCTCTTCAAAGCCATTTTCTGCACAGAGCACTCCTGTTCGTGAGGGCAGTACACAGAAGTCGGATCATTCTGCCCTCAACACAGAAAGATGCATATCTGAATGGAGGACCTTTCCTTGGTGCAGTGCAGTGTAGCAGCCATTGCAAAAAACTCCAGAAGCAGAAATGAATGTAAGTATCAACTGCAGTTTGAAACTCCTCTGTTACTGCTTCAGTCACTGTGTTGGAAGAGAGAGGTGAAGGCTTTCTTTGTGACAAATTGGATGCTAGCTGTCCTCTCCAGCAATGGAGAGATAACAGGTCCTACTAAAACCACTTCTCAACTTCACAGGAACAGATTTCTGCTGCTTCCCCTACAAAATAACTTCCTTAGCTGATATCCTGCCCTGTCAGCAGGAGTTTTGGGAGTTGGTGGCCTCGAAGCAGAACCACCTTTGCATGTTTTGTGATACAGTAACACCAAACTGTTCAGAACCGTATGCTTTCTCATGTAAAAGGAAACTTATTTTTTTTCTCCTTCTGTCTGGCTCCAAGCAACTAAAATACCTCAGTATTTGGAAGATAAATGCATTTAGAGCCAGGAGAGGCCTCCAGAGCCACAGGCTACACTGCTTCCTGCTCTCTGAAAACCTGAATGAGGAGAGATACTATTGCTCCCAAGTACAGCTCAGAGCTTGTTAGAACAGGGAAAGCTGCCCTGTTTGGCCCTTCCTGCAGGGGCAAGGGATAGGCTGGCTTAGGTGAATGAGGCCATCCCAGCTTCTGGGTTCACCCCATGTTTTGTCCCATAGGATGAGGGATCTTCTGTGGCTCCACCTCTCTTGTTCTGCCTAAGCTTCCTGTGTCTTGGAATGGGTCTGTCTCTTGGGAAGGAGTTTTTCATCAGTTCCCAGGGTTTCTGTGAGCACTGCATAAGCCTTCATGGAAAACATCATGGGATGCTCTGCTCAGGGCATCTAGGAGGTCCAGCAGAAAATGGCATGGGAGGTCTGGTTGAGATAAGGTCACCAGTGATGTGGTTGGGTTATGTCTCATCTTTCTGTTTCAATGATGCTTTTCCCCTCCTATTTCTGGATGAACACCGAGTGGCACAGGCAGAGTGCTGCACTCCTTTGCAAAGATAAAGACTGGTATAAAAGGAGGAGAGCTACTGGAAGTTGGTAAAATTGCTCCAGAAACTTTGCTGAGACCTCAACGCCCAGCCCACAAAAAGCAAACCTGGGCATTTGTGAGGTAAGCACAAAATGCTGGCAGCAGGAAGCCTTTCAGGTTGTTCTGGATACAGCTTCACTGTCGAGGCTACGTTTCCATTACAGATTGTGGGGTGTTATACAGTCCTTTGGCAGGACTTCATAGGCAATGCTTGGAGACACAAGGACACTTCTTGATTGAAATAAGAAGGGACTTTGAGCTGACGTAAAACTTCTTCAAAATCCAGGCAAGGCAATAAAGCCTTTTTGCAGTGGGTTCAGGACTCATGGCCTCATCAAAGCCCCCTCCAGAAGCAAGAAGAGTGCTAGAAGGAGCCGGCCCCTTACCCAGCCACTGTGGTCATCCCATCTTATAATTAAATGAGACAAAGCTTGCAAGATTTCATAGGTAAAGGTTTGCCCCCAGGGGCAGGCTGCTGCCTCCTCATGCTGCATGCCAGCTTTCTGCATTCTCTCATCTATCAAAGTAATTATGCCCATTATGTTTCTCCTTTCAGGTTTCACCCTCCCATATGTTATTCCTCTGCATTAAACCTGTGGGGGAAGTGAGTTACTGGGGAAAGTAACCAGGTATAATCCAGGTTTAATAGACACACTGAAAAAGCATGCTGGGCTGGGAGGGTGGTCCAGCCAGCATTCTGCTTCTGCAGGCAAACAGAAACTTGTCTTGATGTGTGTATGTATCCAGCTTTGTGATCTGTGAGCTCTTAATAATTGGTTTGGTGACCTGCCACCAGTGTTCTCTCTCTGTAGAGCTTTCTCCAGTCCCCGGTTAATACAACAGGTCACAAATCCCATTTGCTTTTGAATTCTGTGTAATCCTTTCGTTAATGTTGCCTAGTGCTTTTTTGGAAGCATTGAAGGAAATTGGAGCCCTGTGCTAATCAGTAACTCTGGCTCTGCGTGTTTGTGAGCTGCTGCCCTGGCTGGCTTTTCCAAATGACCGCTGCAGCCTGTTTATGTCAAACACCAATGTGTGCCTCCACAAAGCAGCAATTGCCTCTGAGCTGTGGTATTACCCAGGGCACGGGCTGGGAATGTTGGCTGGGCTTTAGGAGAGCAGTGAGGTGTGATGGGGTGGCTGCTGGTGCCACGTTCCTGCTGCAGTGGTTTCCCATGGATTGATCTGGTCGGGAAACTTTACTGGTGTCTTCAACACCTACAGTACCTGAATCGGTGTCTCTTAGTTTTGTTTCTTAATTTTTGTCCCCTGCCTTTTTTTCTGTAGTTTGTCCATCTCCACGTTGCTGACAAGCATCACACCTTACCCCTTTCCCTCACACTCCCTATTCCTAGTCTGTCTGTGGCATTCCTCACACAATGTGAGCGCGCACCGTTCTGCTTGGAGCTGCTGACAACAGCATTATGACCTTGAGGATAGCAGCACGTTGCAAAGCAGCATGTATTGCATTTAGTTACCTTGCTGTAGCTGGGCATTGCACTTACAAGCTGCTATTGAGGCCCCTGCACATCAGGCTTGTGCTGGGTGCTCTTGGGCAGGACTGTGCAGTCACCTCCCTTTGCTTTGGGCCTTTTTCCTTATTAAATCCCTCCAGGATTTGGGCTGTTTGATTTCCAAACCCTTTCCCTGGTGCAGAGGGAGGAGCAGGGTGGGGAACTCCCTGCACTGGGAGCACAGTGATCGCATCGTGGCTCCAGCGTAAGAGAAATTCCTCCAAGGATGGGGTTGCACGCTGCTTGCTGCCTGTGCTCTGTGCTGGGCACTAGATGGCAGACAGTGACTGGGAAATCCCCATCGTGGAGCTTCCCATTCCTTCCCCTTAAAGTCACCCGCTCCAGAGTGGGGAACCTAAACCTGGAACAGGGATCGCTAGTTCTTAACGTGGTGGCTTGAACTCCAAAGGGTCCCAAGGACCAGCAGTGGGTCGCGTTTGTTCCACGGAGGCTCAGTGGGTAACCAGATGCTCAGTGGAATCTCTAGGACAGGCAAATGAGGCAGGGATCAGGCAGCTGGGTTTGATGATGTAGAATGCTTGGGGCTGCTGGGCTTCCACGTGTCATGAGGGGGCAGGAGTTGCAAAAATCCCTCCTTACTCTCCCTTATCGCCCGGGGTTCTGGCTTTGCCAACTGCTGCCCCTGACCCTACAGTGCTAAGGGTGAGACGGCCCCTGCAGTGCCAGGCAGCTGCTTGTCCCCCCGGGCATGGAGCTGTGCAGCCGCAGCCCCTCGCTGGGTGTTGTCGCTTCCCCTAAGCACCTTCCAACAAAAAGGGGATTATCTATAGCTTGTTAGAGTCCTTGCAGGGAGGGAGAGTAAGGCTCTTTGCTCTGAAATGCTCTCTTCCCTGGGATTACAAGATAATGCATATGAAACGACATTAGCTCAGCCAGGTTTATGGATTATTTGAAAATCAAATTCTTTTAATCTCATCCACCATCTGGCACCGGCGGAGCAGCCAGCTTGCTGCCACTTCCACCCTGCCTGTGTCAGAGCAAGGGGACACGGTATCCATGCACCCTGGCACCGGTGCCAGCCTTGTCCCCGTTCTTCTGACAGCATACAGGTGACAAGTCCCAGGAGCCATGTATAGGGAGGGGGTGAGGCTAGGTGACAGCCTTGCCTTCTCCCAAGGCACAGCCAGCCCCTTCTGCTGCTTGGTTGTATCTTGGTTGGTTTTCTTTTTTGGGGAGGGATGAGGAACAGGTACACTGCAGCACTGCTCAGCTCTCGTGTCTGTCATGAGTTGCTTTGCCCTCTTTGCTGAGCTTCAGCAGGACCATCCATCTTCCCTGTCTGCTCCAGAACACTGCTGCACCTACTAGCAAGGAGCGTTATAATCTCAGTGCCCATTTAACAAGAATAAAAAGCCTTCTGGGACAATAGGTCACGGTTATACAATTTAGCTCAAGTAGAAAAAGGGCCTTTATAGCTATGAATATATGAATACTTAAAATATATATGTAACATTGGTTAACACCGGGACACGTAAGCATAATATATATATAGCGCTGGGCTAACAGTTTGCTCCTTGGCTCCCTTTTCAGAAGGCTGTGCCTGTTCTGCCTGTCAGCTCCATCCCAACAGCAATTTGTGGCTGGAGTCACAATTCTGCCCTGGTACAGAAGTGTTCATCGTGGACAGAGGGACACTGAGCAACTCAATGGGGATTGGGATGCAAGCAGTGTGGATGCAGTGCCTCTGCCTGCAGGTAAGGGATGGCACATGGAGCCAGCAGCTTGTGTGCAGCAATTTGCTGTTGTGATTTGCGTGCCCTGAGGATGGTTACATGCAATAAAAAGGGAAAAACAAACAGCAAGAAGAAAAGTCAGTGGTTTTAGAGACAGAGAAACATGGTTTCTGTAGGTGATTACTAATTACACAATTACAATGTTGTCTGTATCATTAGGATTATTTGTATTTAGTACATTGTAGTTTTAATTAAACAAATCCTTAGATTGTTTTTACCCTCCTTTGTAATGAAAATCCTTTTTTTTTTTTTTTTTTTTTAATTTTTTTTTTATTAGTGCCAAAGAATAAATTAATTGTGTAATTAGTGACTATTACTTTGTCACTTCTGGAAGGGTTGTTTCCAGGTTGTACACATGTGGTTAGCTACAAAAGGGTTGTAAAAAGCTGTTTGGTACCAAGACTCCCTGGAAATAGCTGTCTGTGGCTGGGGTTGCTGCTGGAGGTGTGGATTTGGCAGCACAGCCAGTGAGAGGAATGTGGAAAACCTCTGCCAGGCTGGCGTGGGGGGAGGCTGTCAAACCTCGATGGTGTCCCCTTGCTTACTGCTTGCACATAAATGTGTTTCATTCTGATGTAGAAATGCCTTCAGAAAGCATCCTCAGGCTCTCCATAAACAAGAACTGGTGAAGCTGTGACTGCTTCCACATGCTCCTGCTGGTGGTGCAAGTGGAGCTGTAGGGTAAGATTTCAGCGTGTGCCATCCATTGTTGCTGCTGGTGGCACATTACCCTGTGCCCTGCCATGCACATGTAGGGTACATAGCAGATTCCAGGCAGGAAAAAAAGAATTTAGCACGCAGGGAGTGATAGGGTCTTAATAGATCTGCACTTATTATTTGGGGAAAAAAAAAGAATCAGGATTACAGGCTTATGAGGGATTAGCAAGCATGAATGCCTATTTCTGCATATACTGCTCCTTTGTAAATCCATTGTGCCACTACACTGATATAGAGTTATACCATTATAAGCATGATATCAGTGTATCTGATAGCCTTGATTAGAAGATCCAGCAGCTGTGCTAAGAAAAACAGCCCTGCAGGGCTTTCCCACTGGTGTTCTGATTGTATCCTGCTTAGGGCCACACATATGACCGGAGGGATGAACACCTCCCCTACAAGGACAGGCTGAGAGCTGGGGTTGTGCAGCCTGGAGGAGAGAAGGCTCTGGGGAGACCTGAGAGCAGCCTCTCAGTATCTAAAGGGGCCGTAAGACAGAAGGGGACACTCTTTAGTAGGATCTGTTGTGATTGGACAAGGGAAATGATTTCAAACTAAAAGGGGGTAGATTTAGGCTGGATATAATGAAGAAGTTTTTTGCAGTAAGGGCGGTGAGGCACTGGCACAGGTTGCCCAGAGAGGTGGTGGCTGCTCCATCCCTGCAGACACTGCAGTCAGGCTGGACGGAGCTCTGAGCACCTGATCAGCTGTAGGTGTTCCTGTTCAGTGCAGGGGAGTCGGACCAGATGGCCTTGAAGGGTCCATTCCAGCTCATGATTCAGCTGTGAAACCACCATGATTTTCACTGCACAGGCACCTTGTGAGTGTCACCCCTGCTCCTGTAGGGTTTGGATCACTTGTTGAAGTGATCAGATTGAGGCTTGCAGTATCCCAGCTGCCCTCTCCTGGGTGGTTTAAAGCAGCAGAAGGAAAATGAATACATGGGGATCCTCAGGTGTCTCTGTGCTCAGATGTGGAGGTAGAGACATTGGGCTGTCAAGAGGTGCTCAGATCACTCGGGTATATATGCAAATGTCTTTCAGCTGTGGCTGAAACTGTGCTTTTAGGCATGGCTAAAATATGAAAAGATCCTCATAACTGTGGTATGTCTGTTGGCTCCACATACTGCATGCCCTCAAGTGTGTCTCAGCTCTTGGAGCCATCTGGAAAGGGTAAGAAATCAGTGCAGACCTGGGCAGCTTTACCACCCTGTAGCTGCTGCCCGCTGTGTCAGTGTGGACAACCTAACCTCTGGCTGTGGGCTTACCTAGAGATGGTTGTTGTATGCAGAGATGTGCTGAACAGGGTATGGAGTCTTTATGGTATGTTGAGGACTCCATGCGCACGTGGATGTTTGGTTTTTCACTAAATATTTTTCTCTCTAATTCAAACATAATTTTTTTTTTCCAGGGAAATGTAATAATAAGAGGCTGTGTGTTTCTAACTAAATAGCAGCCTTTGCTTGGTAGACGACCCAGTGTTTGGTTTGAATGGGGTTCCTGCTTTGCTGACTCTGGGAGTCACACGGCAATAAAGTGAGGGCCCCTTGCTGCTGGAGCCAAGGGCAGCACGACCCCCCAGCTGCCAGCAGGAAGGAGGTCTCTGAGCTCTCAGACCTGGCTCTGTTCCCTGCTCTCTGCCACTCAACCATCACTGTACAGGGCAACGTCCCAGGAGTGATCCCAGCACTGGGGACAGCTGTCCCTCTCTACAGAGTCTCCTCAGTGCTGCTGCTCTCGTGCCTCTTTGTGATTTCAGCAAGGAAACTTAGATGCCCCCTGTTCAGACTTGAATGCTTTGGAATTCTATTTATCCTGTATTGTGCCAGGCTCCTGCCACTTCCAGTGCTTAGATCAGTGTTGAATGTGAAATTCCAACATCACTTAGAGTGCTTGGGTAAGTGCTGTCCTATTTTCCTCCCCCTAGGACTGTATATCTGTGGGCTAGTTTGTTGTTTGTTTGTTTTTTCCTTAACCATGCTTAAAATTTCTTTTGGCCGTAGTCTCTTTTTGTGATGTAAGTGTTCTGACAAATCTGACTCTATGTTGCACAGCAGTTCTGCATGAATGAACCAGGTAGGTCAAGCAATCTTCCTCTCTGCTTCCTTCCCCAAAGTTGATAAAAACAAAAGAATGACCCCATAACAACAAACCTGGTGTGCAGGACCCAGTGTGTGCTGGAGACCCTACAATAATAAACCTGTGTGCACAGCCCAGTGCTGATGAGCACTGACATAGCTTCAAATGTAGTGATGTTCCTGCTGATGTGTCCCTTCTGAGGACATCAGCATCAGCAATCCTTTTAGCTGTGAAGCAGGGAGGATGACTCATGAACCATCCCGAAGCAAACAGTGTCAGTACCTTGATGGTCCGTCAGGTTTCCAACTTGCGTCAGCAAAACCGGAGGTGAAGAGGGAAATGAGAGCGACAACCCAACCTGAGTTTGAGGAGAGGAGGGCAAGTGCTATGGAAAATAAAACTCCTGCTGAGCCAGTGTCCCCACTCTTCACCGGCCCCATCCTGCAGGGAGAGCCAGCTCTCAGACCTTCAGGCACACAATGTTCCTGTCACTTGTAGACATGACGGATGTTGACTCTTGACATATTCTCCAATGGGCTCCAAATTCTTTCTCTGCCAACAGCCTGAAAGCATCTTCCCTGCCTCTCTGCAGAGGCTTTCCGTGCCTGGTTCTCCAGGCACTGTGGGACCTGTGTCCTCCTGAGTTGGACTGGGAGTTTGTTCTCTTTGCAAATCCCTCTCTAGAGTCCCATTCAGCCTCCAGTGCCGCCCCTTTTCCCCTGCAGTCCCTCCTTGGGGACCTGTTGGGATGGTCCTGCCCTGGCAGGTGTGGCAAGGTTCTCTTTGAGAACAGCACAGGTGCCTGAAGAAGTTCAGTTTGCAGCGAATCATGGGCTGCTGGTGCAAGAAACTCTCCTTTCATCAAGGCCAGAAGCAGACCAGAAGTGGTGAATGTCAGAAGGCTGCTAAGAGCAAACTTCAGATGATGTGAATGCACTTGCAATAATTAATGGCTCTTTTTATCTGAAGGTGCTTAAAAACTGACATCTTCTAGAGCCATGAGAGTGAGATCTTTGGGATAAACGAGGAAGAGTGTTTCTTTTTTTAAAGATGTTTCAACTGATGTAAGAATTTACCATATCCCTGTGCGTCTCTCCCTGTGTGAAACCCTTAGGAGAAGAAAAACTGGTGAGAGAGAAAGGGCTTGGTTTGGATCCAAAGGCAGCTGGGCTGGAGCATGACCTGTGATTCAGATGTCACCTTTGCTCAGTGCTGAATGGGGTGAAGAGCCCCCTGTTCCTGCTGCAGGGAGCTTCTAACACCTGCATCCTTCCATCCTCCATTTCTGCCCCAGTCTGGTGGGATACCCTTCCCCCAGGTAGCAAACCTGACAGAGCTACAGGGAGGACAGGTGAATATTGAACTGGAGCTGGGCTGTAATGATCCTAAAAAAAACAACCTAAATCTGGCTTGCGATGCCCCAGCTGGACCTTAAAAAGGGTTTCACTGTTCCTAAAGCAGAAATGTAAGAGAAAGCTCTGCATCTGTTTACCATGCAGAAGGGTCAAAAAAGGCTCTTTCCCCCCCCAGGGTCCCTGCAGTTTCTCTAGCAGAATTAAAAGGCACATGCAGAGCTGTAGCAGCAGGGTGAGGAGAGAGCAGAGCAGAGGGAACAGAAGCACCAAGCCTTCGTTTCATCCCACCTGCGCTGCGGTGCTGACTTGCCCCGAAGAGTCGCATGAAAATCCTGTGTAAATGGAACATAAATGTTTTATGAATTCAGCCCTGGTGGAGTAAATTAAAGGGTCATTAATGGCCTCATTAAAGAGCTTTGCACTTTGTTCTGAATTATGAAAGCTATCATGCAATGTTAAACTAAATGGAGTTTTCGTCGAGATTTTGAAACTCTTTAACTAGTTCTCCCCCCCCCCTATTCTTTTCTTCCCTTTTTTTTTTTGTTGATGAGAAATGTCTTTTGAGGGAGCCGCCTGTAGTGCTACAAACTAGATTTCAATTATAAATCTTCTTATGCTCCACTAATTGCCCAGAATTTTTCTCGAGAGCTGCTGAGGTTAATGCTGATGAAGAAAGAACCCTTTTGTCTTTTCTTGAACTGGGGCCTCCCTCACTGCCTCTGGTGAGCCGTCGAGCTGGGAATTACCTCCAGTGACACCCAGATGGTACATGGAAGGGACAACAGATGAGTTGTTGGCTTGCTGCGGGCTG